TTTTTAATATTTATTTTTTTTTAGTTCTCGGCGGACACAACATCTTTGTTGGTATGTGGTGCTGAGGATCGAACCCGGGCCGCACACATGCCAGGCGAGCGCGCTACCGCTTGAGCCACATCCCCAGCCCCTAGTTACTAAAATTTTATCATTTGTTGTTTCCATTCTTCCTCCACATAACACATTTTCTCAAAAATATTTTTCTTTAGTTGTAGATAGCTACAATTACTTTATTTTATTTATTTATTTTTATGTGGTGCTGAAGATCGAACCCAGTGCCTCACACATGCTAGGCGAGCACTCTACCACTGAGCTACAACCCCAGCCCCCTCATTGTGTTTTTAAAAAGCAAACCCTAGCCATATCATTTTGTCTTCACATATGTAAGTATGTCTGACAGAAAAAGTTTCAAAACAAAACAAATACACATATCCACAATGCCATTTTAAAACATAACAAAAGTAACAATTCCTGATAGGGTGCAGTACCCATCTAATACCCAGGTAGATTTTACTGATTTTCTCAAGAATGTTTATTTGTAATTTGACCTCTTAAATCAGAATCTGATCAAGGGTCAAATATTGCGTTTGATTAATATGCTTCTGTAGTCTCTTTTAATCTATAACAATTAACCTTATCATCCACTCCTCCACCTTTTTGCAAACCATTCATTAAAAACAAAACAAAATTGGGTCACTTGATTGAATGAATTTCCACGTCTGGATTGGTTAACTGCATCTTTGTGAAATGTTTCTCACCCCTGCCATGTCTGTCCTGTCTATTGGTGGTTAGGTACAGAAGCTTGATTAGACTAAGAATAAATCAGAGAAAAAAAAAAATCAAAGATGGTGCTGTGCTTCCTACAACATCACATCAGGAATTTCATCATGTCTGGTTCTTCCACCATTCGTCTCATTCAGACTAATGAGATATTGTCAGCCTGATCTGTTATAGAAATTCCTCATCTGCCTTTCACCTAATGATTGTTGTAGCCAATATTATCTATTGCTTATATAAGTGTTTTCATTAGAGGTTGCAAAATAGCGGTTTCATGTCATTTTATTTGCATTTAACAGCTGAGATTTTACATGATGAACTTTTTCTTCATCAATATCTTTTCATTATCTTGAAATACAGTTTTATGGGAAAGTTAGACTAAATCATTGATTCCTTTATTTATAAAGTTTTTGAATAATGACTTGGTGTTCTAGCAACTTCTAAAGGTAATCAATGAATTTTTTTCCTTTGGTGTTGGGGATTAAACCCAGGGCTTCACACATGCTAAGCAAGAGCTCTACCAACTGAGCTCTATCCTTAGTCTTAATTGTCATAAACTATGGATTTCAATGTATCTGATCTATTAGAGCTCATCACCTCAGATCTGGAAATGTGGTGGGTCAGTGATGGAAGTCCATGTGAGGCCCTGGGTTCAGTCCCCAGCACCACCAAAATAAATAAATGAAGAAAGACAGCCCATCATGTCATTGTTCTCTTTAAAAGCATCTTTAGGTTGGCTTCTGTACGGGGTGTGTATTGTGTGTGAATGTGTGTGTGTGTGTGTGTGTCTGTGTGTGTGTGTGTGTGTGTGTATGTTAGTTACTAGGGATTGAACCCAGGGTCAATCCACCATGGAGTTCCATCCCCAACTCTTTTATAATTTTTTTTTTTTTTTAAATTTTGAGAGTATTGCTAAATTGCCAAGGCTGACCTTGGACTTGTGATCCTCCTGTTTCAACTTCCATTGTCACTGATTACAGTTACAGTTGTGCACTGCTGGACCCAGGTTCCCGTATCTCCTTTTTTTTTTTGTGGTATCAGGGATTGAACCTAGGACCCTGCCTAAGCTAGCATTTGCCTGTACCACTGAGCTAGATCCCCAACCTCCTGTATCCTTTTAACATGAGTCCAACACTCTAGTATTTCCCTTACTAACAAGCTTTCCGGGGCTGGGGATGTGGCTCAAGCGGTAGCGCGCTCGCCTAGCATGCGTGCGGCCCGGGTTCGATCTTCAGCAGCACCACATACCAACAAAGATGTTGTGTCCGCCGAGAACTAAGAGAAAATAAATAAATGTTAAAATTCTCTCTCTCTCTGTCCCCCTCTCTCACTCTCTCTTTAAAAAAAAAAAAAAAAACAAGCTTTCCATGCTTGTTTTGTATACTTTCTACCCTAGATCTGGCATTGGCACTTTTTTGAGGAAATCTGGTTTCTTTTAGATAGAAAATGATATTTGAAGATTTTGGTTTAGATACCAGAAGTGCTTATTGCTCTTGGTTAATCATTACTTATAAACTTTTCAGTGAATAGAGGTAGGAAATACCTATTTTTTTAAGAAAGAGAAAAATAAATCATGAATTCATAGTGATATTTCCAACTCATATTTAAAATTATAAGGTTATTTCATTTGATTTTATACTTAAATATTTAATGTATTTAATTTCTTTGTATTCTTTTTTTCTCATACGCTAAATTTTTGTCCCTGAAGATAGTAACATACTGCTTTATTCTATAGTATGGATTTGATAGTTTTCAAATAATAATACCAATAATAAGGACTACTAGAATGCAGTTTAAGATGTTTATATTTTGTTTTTAGGGTATAATCTACTATGTAAAAATAGTCCAACTATGTTTAAGTCACTTGAAATATCTCTTCTCTTATAATATGTAGTTGATAGATTAATTTATTTTAGTTTGCTTTAAAATTTTTAAGAGAATGCTATGTTGAGGGGTTCTCTTCCTTTTCAACTTAAGTTTGGGTTTTTGTAACTGTTCTCTTATTATTTCAGAGTTAGATGCTGATGCTTCCCAGGAATCAGCAGTAGGACGCAGAAGGACTGTAGGGATACTAGATATGGGAGGAGCCTCTCTTCAAATTGCTTATGAAGTTCCTACCTCAACCTCTGTCCTTCCTCCAAAACAGGTATTTTGCATTTAGTGGAAATTCAGTTAGAAATGCCAATATTTGAAAATGAAGAACACTGTCTTTGGACTTAAGCCAACGTGCCTGGGTCCAAATACTTGTTCAGATACTTGCTAGCTCAGTTATCTTGAGTAAGTTACCTCACTGAGTCTCAGTGTCCTCATGTGTAAGGAGGCATGAAAATAGTATCTCCCTCATAAAGTTGTAAGAATGTGTGAAGCACTTAGCAAACTGCCCGGCTTATGATAAGTGTTTGATACATTTTAGCAGTTACCATTAAGCATCTTCCAAGGCTGCCTGAGGAGTAAATACAATGCATGTAAATCCTAGAGACAATATTTGATACATGTCTGTTGTTCAGTAAATGCTATCTCCTTTCTTCTTACTAATGATTCTATTCCTGTCCTTTTTTATTCCTTACCCAATTTAGAATGCAGACAATGTATTTTGGGGAGATGTTTCATCATAGAAAAGAGAACACAGTTTCTCTTTTTGAGCATCTATTATGTGTAAGAAATAGGACATCTTTGTTATACTTCCCTCTAAAACTTTGAATTTGTCATTGGAGACAACTAATGATCTTAGCCAAACCAGGGTTTCTCATCCATGACACGATTAACATTTAGGGCTGATAATTCTTTGTTGTGGGTGGCTGTGTATCCTAGAATGTTTAGCAGCATTCATGGCCTCTTCCAGATGCCAGTAACAACCCTTGTTCCTTCAGTTGTGACATTCAGAAGTGTCTCCTAACATTGCCACATGTCTACTTGAGGGGGTGAAGTGGAAATTACCCCTGGTTGAGGCCCGCTGGTTTAAACAGAGCTGTGGCCATATGGGGACTGGCAGGGTCAGCCCCATTTTCAAGGCTTGAATGGAGCCATGTTGGCCACATGAAAGATGAGGGATGGGTATAGCATGATAGTAGGCTTTTGCATAATAGAGGTTGAGAGAAGGCCATCTACATGGATAGAACAGTATGTACAAAGGCACAGACAAGGCAGCAAAGAACCAGAATGTCCAGGAAATGGTGACTAGCCTGCTGCAGCATGGGATTTCAGGTGTGATAATGGGAAGATAAGATGGATTATACCATGAGTCGTCTTGGGTGTCATCCTAGGCACTTGGTTTTTATTTCTGTAGATAGAGTGGGGAACTAGCAAAAGTTTTGAGTAGAGCAGTCATATAGGCCTGTTTCATCATGAAACAAATTCTGGGGGTTCATCTGAGCTCTGAGTTTTGTAACCATGTTGACCTGATCTGATTTTTAGGAAAATAATTTTGGTGTGAGTAGGAGAAAGAAATGTAGGTCAGGGACCCTTAAGTGCGAAGTGGTAAGTGGTTGAACTAAGCAGTATAAGTAGAAATGGAAAGGAGGAGACAGATTTCAAGGAGTGATGGGTTGTAGTGGTGTGTGACTAAAGGAGGCCATCGATGCTGAGGGTCCTAGATAAATAACTATAAGGCTGAGGAATTCCACTGCTGAGAGAAGGCACATGTGGAAAGGGCAGGGTCGATGCTGAACCAACAGTAAAGTCAGGAGAGGTGTGGGTGAGAGCATCTGTCTGGTCTTCTAGCTATTTGGTACTAAGACCAATGAGTTTATTTCTGGGTGTGTTGAGTGTGAGATATACAAGAAACATGCATGTCAGAATTTCCATAGGACTATTGGAAATGTGAGTCCACAGAGATATTCTTTGCTAGAGTTGGAGATTGGGGAAATAACTTGGTTAAGAAACTGTTTACTCTGTATTTGTTAGTATGTATTCTATAGGTAAAATGAATACATTTTTCTGATTTAAGGAATAGGTAACAAGTGGCACTGTGAAACAAAAAGTCTTAAACAAATGGCTTTTCTTGTGCATGTTTAGAAAGTAATACTAGTACATAAAGTATAGCAAGCAATGAATTAGATGTATGCATAGAAATATAATGGCTCTTAAAGATGGATCGTAGTGCTTAGTTAAAAAGGAAGGAAAAAGCACAAGAGATTTTGGGGGACATTTCAGATCCAAACTATAACAGTTCAATTCACAGAGTTATTCACATTCACAGAGTTGTTTAATCATCATTTTGGATTCCACAAAGAAACCTCATATTCCTTAGCACTCATTTTCTATTCTTCCTATTCCCTATCTCCAACAACCACTAGTCTACTTCCTGTGTCCTGTGGATCTGCCTATTCTGGGTCTTTCATATAAATAATATCACACACTATGGCCATTTGGGTCTGCCTCTTACTTAGCAGAACGTTTCCAGGGTTCATCTATGTTGTGCATGTGTCAGTGCTTCATTGCTTTATGTGGCTGAATAACATTCTGTTGTACACCCATGCCGTGTTTTGTTTATCCATTCATCAGCTGATGGACATTGAGTTGCTTCCACCTTTTGGTTATTATCAGTAATACTGCTGTGAACATTTATGTACACATTTTTATGTAGACATACTTTTCAGGTCACTTCAGTATATATTTAGGAGCAGAATTGCTGGGTGTAGTAGCATTTTCACAATCAAATATAATCAGAATCAGTGATCTCCATTTTTCAATAATACACAAACAAAAATTACACATTAAGCACATTAGAATGGTTGCCTATTACAGGGAGTAGGAATAGGAATGGATATGAGCATAAATGGGACCAAATAAAGCAGAAGAGAGGCTTTGCCATGATAATGTGCCATCTGCTGAGGTATGTGATTAAGTTAACCTCTGCACTTGAGGTTAGGAGACGGGGGGTGGGGGGAGAGAGGAAGAAGAGTACGCTTTTTCTTTGGAGGTAAAATAAGATTGAAATTTTCCAGTGCCCAAACTTGTCACAAAGAATATTAGGTCTTCTTGAATAGTTTAGAAAAGACCATAGAATAAATCTCATGATGATTCTCTAAATTCCTTTTTTATTAAAGGATTTTTTCTTATTATGAAAATAGCCCATTGCCATTGTGGAGAATTAGAAAATACAAAGTACATATCAGAAAGTGACATCCACTGTAATAATTCTACCTCCTATACTGCAGATAGTGTTTTAATCTCTAAACTTGGTGTTTAGTCTCCAACTTGGCCTCTAATTTGTACTTTTTGGTGCAGTCTTATCATTTTATGTCTTTATCTAAATTAGAAAGCAATGAAAACTAAAATTCCCTTTTTTCTTTGAACATTGTATTATAGGAAGAAGCTGCCAAGATTCTGCTGGCTGAGTTCAACCTGGGCTGTGATGTGCAACACACCGAACATGTGTATAGGGTTTATGTCACAACCTTTCTGGGTTTTGGAGGCAACTTTGCCCGGCAGCGCTATGAAGACCTAGTGCTGAATGAAACTCTTAGCAAAAACAGGTACACTGGACATGAGATCCAAGTTTCTAAAACAATGTCATCAGGCCAAAAATATTCACATCCTTTCTTTCTTTCCTTTCCAATCATACCTGCCAGTGAGCTAGATCTCTCACTAAGACACCTTTTATCAGCAGCCCCACCTGGCCTGTTCCAGGATGCACTGTGTTCTTTGTTATTAGAACTCATAAAAAGGTACAATAGCTTGTTATGGTTTCTTGCTGTGTTCTACCTCCAGACATGGTATCATGGGATAAGTGAGGCTAATAAAGGTCTAATTTAAGATATGTAGTATAATGTACCTCCCAGCAGTTCCTTTTACATACTGGTGCTCAAAACATGATTGTTGACTTACAGTGGAGTAAGTCATCTCATATGAGAGTCAGGTTTGTAGTGTGCACAAAATGTAAAAAGCATATATAATTACAGTTAACTTTTAAAATGATTTCTTGTTAAGTCCCCAAATAGCCAGTTTTTCTTCCAGCATTGGACAGATCACCAGTTCTTCTTTTGAGAACCAGATGAACCAAGTAGACCATAATAAACAATTATGAAGTGATTGTTTGGAGTATTTAAAATTATTTATTATTATGCATACTAAAAGAAAGCATACAACAGAGTTCTTTTCCACCATAAAATTATTTGCACTCATTTATTTAGCTAGAAAAACTAGCTTGAAAAACTACTGTAGTATCCCATTTGTAATAATTTCTCCCTGACAACCAATTATCTTATATTTAGAGCATGTTGAAGAAAATATTGTCTCCTAAATCTTTCTAAATTTTCTGCGTTTCAGTCAGCAAGAGTTTGGGGTGCCCAGGATGATTGACTGCAGTCACATCAGGCAGTGTGTTTTGTTCTGAATGTGCTCTTAGGTCCACACAGGTGTTGCTTAGGTTGTGGTACTGATTTCTCCTCTGGGCACTATCACATTTCAAGAATATTTGTTATGAAGGTTTCATACCCATTTTGATTTGTTCCTACTTCAGTAGCCACTGTGCCCCCACCCCCCGCTTTGTTGTTCTTTTTTCCTGTTTGCTGCTCTCTGCTGCCTCAGAACTTCTTGCCAGCCTGCCTCTTCTTCTTCTTATGCATTGTTTATTTTCTGGTCAAGTGTCTTAAGTCATGTGAGATTGAGGAGTAAAAGGTATATATTGTTGTGGCTGCCAATCTACTAGAGAAACCTATGCCTCCTGGGATGGTGAAACTTAATGGTTCTGTCTTCTGAATAAAAATTTTCTGAGTTTTCTTCAGTTGGTTACATGTCTTAAAATAAATTCCATATGTTCCTAAGTATTCTGTTATGTTGCCGCCTTCCCAGTCTCTCCTTCAGTCTTTATACTTGTGGGTGCATCTTCATTCCAGGAAACTCATTCTTTCACATCTACCTGTTTAGGAACTAATGAAAAATTAACTGCACTGGGAAATTTTATTTGGTCTCCATGAAATTTCCATCCTTGGACAGCTCTGCCTGTTAATCTCTATAGTAATTGATAATACAGTTACTAGATAAGCATAGACCAAAGAACTAGAATCATGCGATGGTTATGGAGGGAATCAAATCCTGTCCCTCCACTATTCACACAAAGACTCCCAGACCTGCAGGTTGCTCTCCGGAGCTGGTGTTCTGTCTGTTCTGTTCCAGCACTGCTCATTCCAAGCCAGGCATTGCCATGATCCCACTGCTGTGGTCCTCTCCTCAGAAACCCTCCCCCAGCCCTTCCCACTTTGCCCCCTTGCAGTTGTATTTTTAAACATCAGAACCACACTCAGCATGGAAAGATCCTTGTATTGGGGGGAGGCATGTGGAAATGAAGTCCAGATGGAGGACAACAGATTCCTATCTCCAGTTTTTCTGTGCTCTGGGAATGAGATATGCTGATGACAGGCTTGACTAAAATTGATCACTGGCATATTTTTTCCTTCTTCTTTTTCTGAATTTAATTTGTTTATATTAAATTTACATATGATGTTCCTGCATGGTAATAGTCCACTGCATCCTTATTTCTAGGGATGGCATGAAAAACAGTCCTGAGATGTACGTGATGAGTGTTGTTTCTTAGAGTGTTTGAGCTCAGCAGTCTCATGCTTTGTTTTTGTCATGTGGACAGGCTGCTTGGCCAGAAGACGGGCCTGAGTCCTGACAATCCATTTCTGGATCCCTGCCTGCCTGTGGGACTCACTGACGTGGTGGAAAGAAATAACCAGGTCCTACACATCCGAGGAAAAGGAGACTGGGCCACTTGTGGGGCCATGCTGAGCCCCCTGCTGGCTCGCTCCAACACCAGCAAAGCTTCCCTGAATGGCATTTACCAGTCACCAATTGATTTCAACAACAGCGAGTTCTACGGCTTCTCTGAATTTTTTTACTGTACAGAGGATGTGTTGCGCATTGGTGGCCGCTACCATGGGCCAACATTTGCCAAGGCTGCTCAGGTAGATCATTAATGATAAAATGACTCATGTTTGCAGCAGCCATGCTTTGGGCGTCTAACTTTGTGCCAGGCACTGTGCAAAGAGCTTTGTATGCGAAAGCTTATTTGATTCTTAGGTGGGGCCCCATGAGCCCTTATTTTAGAGGAAAAGATAGACTCAGAGAAGTTAAGGACCTGCTATGCTAAATAGCCTTCTAATACTTGTCTAGCATACAGAAGGCCTTACATTCAGTCTGTAACACTGCAAAATTAATTAATTAGTTGAGTTTAAGTTTCCATGGACATTTTATCAGCCAGATATAAAATTGTTGTGATTGCTAATGATTTTTCTTCCAACTTTCTAATGGTCTTGTTAATGCCTATGACCAGAAAGTGTCATTGTATTTATTTTTCCCTTTGCTGAGTGTCTCAGATATAATGTGCTTTCGGAGATGATGTCATACTGGATCCAGGGCAGGTCCATTTTCTTTTTCTTGGTTGGAATTATTAAGAGGACAGATTGGTATGGGGTCACTTAGAGACTATTAGAAAGATGTGAAAAGCAATGATGATAGAAGTATTATTCAGATTTAAAATGCACATATATAGGATTTAAGCATCTTATAGGCTTAATTAGATACCTGGGTAGGTAAAAGTTTAGCCAACTTTCTGTAGGTCCCTGCCTTAGTTTAGAGTCTTTGTTAGTGAACTTCACTAAAACTAACTACCTGAGATAATTTATAAAGAGAACAGGTATGTTTTGGCTCAGTTTTCTAAGTTCCAGTCCAAGATCAACTGGCCACTTTGCTGTGAGCCTGGGTGAGATAGCACATCATGGAAGGAACATATGAAGGAGTAAACTGCATCATGAGCCAGGGAGCAGAGAGAGCAAGAAGTGAGCCAGGGTCCCACAGTCTCTTTTAAGGACATTCCCCCAGTGATCTAAAGACCTCCACTCAGCCCCACCTCTTAAAGATTCCAACACCTCCCCAAAGTGCCACCCTGAGGGCCAAGCCTTTAACATATAGACCTTTGGGAGACATTCTACATCCAAACTAGTAGAATCCTATCTTTGATTTTTGTATAACTCTGCTTTATCTCTGTTGTCAAAGAAATATATAAGAATCCATCTTCCTGTACATTTTATTCTTTCTGCTTTCTTAAAATTCTCAAGGATTGTCTTAGTAAAAGACTTCCAAAATAATAATATCTGCAGTATCTGTGCTATTATATCCCCAAAAGATAGTTCCCAAGGAATATTGTGGAACACTTGGTTTGTATTTTTCTTTCCTTTCTAGACCCTGGGACTACACTCTTTTACCTTCCCTTTCCAGAGCTAAAGAGTCCCTGATTGTCCATGACCTAAGTCTCTCTCTTATCTCAAAACTTCTTCAAATCCTATTCTCTTGAACACCATAGGGCTCAAGTCATTGCTTACCCAAGTTGCTAATGTCAATAAATTCCCTTCCCAAGGTAAAAGGGAAGATTTTGCTTCCTTGACATTTAAAAAATTTATTTTTTCTAATTTGTTATATACGACAGCAGAATGCATTACAATTCATAATACACATATAGAGCACAATTTTTCATGTCTCGGGTTATACACAAAGTAGAGTCACACCATTTGTTTCTTCATACATGTATTTAGGGTAATAATGTCCATCTTATTCCTTTATCTTTCCTACTCCCATTCCCCTTCTTGAAATCTTAGAGTAACTCTGTATTTATTTGCATTTCTCTAATTGTATCATCTTCTGAGAAATGTCTGTTAGTTCCTTGGCCCATTTATTGATTGGGTTATTTGTTTTTTTCCTTGACATTTTTTACTCTTAGATGTTATAGTCCCAAATTTCCTGGCCACCCTTTCCAAAATTACAACTCTTCCCATATGACTCTCTGCCCTTTCCTGCTTTGTTTATCCCCTGAGCATTTATGTCATCTTACATACTGTATATGCATGCATGTATATATTTATGTTTGTTTTTCTCTTACTATTAAAAGGTAAGCTTCATGAGGACAGGAATTCTTTTTTCCACTGCTCAATCCCTTAGCACTTAGGATAGCACATAACACAGTGTAGACATTCAGCAAATGTTTGTTCCCTGAACAAACCAAAAGAAATAATTCTTTTGGTGAGAATCACAACGTGGAGGCAGGCCTCCAGATAGGTTTCTGACCATTCTGCTCCAGCTGTCTTCCTTCTTCATGTCAGCTCTGCAGAGTAGAGTGAAGCTCCCTTTGGCTTTTGATGTTGCTCTTCCTTCTCCTAACCTTAACTCTCTATGAAGCCTAAGAGGCTCAGGATCCAGCTCAGACTGTTTTTATACTAGACTTGGAGGCAATGGGAATAAAGAGAGGTTTGGCACAGTGTTCAGTGAATGAATCTGCCATTTCCTGGGTCAGCTAGTAGCTCACAGGTAACTCTAGGAGTAGAGCAATGGTGCCTGGGGACATTAGGGAGTCTGCCTCCTATTTCATGCTGTACTGTTTCTCTGTGGTTGTTCCAGGATTACTGTGGCATGGCTTGGTCAGTACTAACTCAGAGGTTCAAGAATGGCCTCTTTTCTTCACATGCAGATGAGCATCGACTCAAGTAAGTAATTTTTTATTTCATCTTAGATATGGCCTTAGAATATGGATGGCAGATTATAATGGAGAGCCATCAAACAATAGTATAGATTGGATTTTATGTTGAAGGAGAATTTGATTATTTCAGATTTTGATTTTCTGAGGTTTTAGGGCAAAGCCAAAGGCAACCAGGGGTTACTAAATAGAGTTCTGTCAGTGTGTAGTGGTGCATGTCTATAATCCCAGCAACTTGGGAGATGAAAGCAGGAGAATTTTAAGTTCAAGGCCAGCCTCAGCAAATTAGTGAGCCCCTCAACATAAAAAAGAAAAAGGGATGGAGAAGTAGCTCAGTGGTAGAGAACCCCTCAGTTTAATGCACAGTTCTGCTAAATAAATTAATTGATAGCTAAGTAAGTAAAAGTAAAAAATAAAGAGAGTTTTCTCCAAGTGATTTGATATCAAAAGGGCAGTTCTTTTTATTCTAAACATTTTATCATAGAAACTATCAAACATGCAGAAAATTAGAATAGTAACATGTAACTTTCACCCAGCTTTAATAACTCTCGGCATTGTGCCAATTTGACTCATTGGTATTCCCATTTTATAAATGTTCAAAACTTTTAAATGCAAACAAAAATAGTGTAATGAATTCCCATGCATCTATCATCCCACTTCTTTACTAACAGTTATTAACTCCTGGCCAATGTTGTCTTCCTTCCTCTACCTGCTTCTTACAACTGAATTATTTTGAAGCAAATGCTAGAGAGCATACAGTTACATTTGTAGATATTTCAACAGCTTCTCTGAAGATGAGAATGGAAGGAAAGAAAAAATGAAGGTGGGAAGGAAGGGAGGAAGGGAAGAAGCAAGAAAGGAAGGAGGAAAGGTAGGAAGACAAACAAAGAGAAACCCAGCCACAGCATCATTTGTAGTAAGATAAATTAAAATTTGGATTCACCTAGAGGTGAGGAAGGTGAATCTGGAAGAGGTAGATCTATTGACATCCAGTGGGCATACATGGCTTATCGTAAAGGAAAGCATTAGAATTCTTTTTATTTATTTATTTAATGTTTTTTATCACAACTCAGATATCAGTGTTTTAAGTCAGCTTGGATGTACCAAGTCCTGCATGAAGGATTCCACTTTCCCTACGACTACTCAAACCTGAGGACAGCCCAGCTGGTGTATGACCGAGAGGTTCAGTGGACGCTGGGAGCCATTCTGTATAAAACTCGATTCTTACCACTCAGGTAAAGAGACCAACCAAGCTGGTACCTTGAGCTTAGAGACAATGTTTGTTGTTGGCTTAGGATAAATTTCTTCAGTGACCCTCCCCCCAATTTCCACATCCCCAAAACTATACCCCCCCACTTCCTTAATCTAATAAGGCATTTGAAACAGAAAGAAGATTGGAAATTATTGGGCTAGAGTCCATTCCTATCTTTGCCATTTCAGAAAGTCAGCTTTATTAGTTCACCAACAACAAATCAGTCTTTAGGATTGAGCTCTTACTAACCATTTCTAAGATGCTCACTGATGAACCAGAATGTTACTCGAGTTACTTTGAAAAACATGTGACTAGAGAAGGTGGGGAGGCTGTCTGGCCAGAGCAAGCTTCCATAATGAGTAAGAATCACTTCAGAGAGTGTGTTATTGGATATTTGGTGGTTCAGAATTAGAACAAAGGACATGCTGTGTCTTTAAGAGGTATGTTTTCTTCAAGCTGTGGCAGGCATTTCAGTGCCTTGCCTTTATGTTCTGTAAGGACAATTTTTAGGTACTCTTTCCCTTGGACTATTTCAGATAAATTCTTAATCTTTGGTGCTTGTTCCTCTAAATTCAATGCCATGAAGAACCAGACAGTTAATAGAACTGAAGGAAGAGGGTTGCATGGGGGTTGTGGGAACCAGATGTTGTGCTCCAACTAAAGTGCTGGTGACTGTCATGCAGAATTGCTACCTGAGCATTTGCCTGGTCTCATTTGTCCATAAAAGGCAGATATCCATATTGTATATGAAGTCTTTCAGTTTGGAGATTCACATTAAAAGACAAAACAAAACAAAACAAACAGAAGAACACTACAGGGTAAACAAAACAAAAAGTGGATCTAGTATCTGAATGACTAAAGAGTGGCTTCTATTCTGGCCAGGCCACTAGACTACTTTTTTCCCCCAGGTTATAATATAATGGTCAGGAAACAGCTTTCTTTAGGTACGCTAGCTCCTAAGGAAATGTAGCAACTTTTTAAAAAAAGATCTACACACTCTGGTTCCTTGGTTGGATTGTAGTAGAATGTTTCTGTGGATGGAATATGGGGTAACACCTTCAGATCAGAACAAACATTTTTCGTTGAAACTAACAGTTTTTTTCCACCTTTCCTTAGGGATCTTCGCCAGGAAGGTGTCCGACAAACCCATGGTAGCTGGTTCCGTCTCTCCTTTGTCTATAATCACTATCTCTTCTTTGCCTGTATCTTGGTGGTGCTACTGGCCATCATCCTGTACCTTCTACGACTCCGCCGAATTCACCACCGACAAACTCGAGCCTCAGCTCCATTGGACTTGCTGTGGATTGAAGAGGTGGTGCCGATGATTGGGGTACAGGTGGGCCCATGAGGATGGACCAGGACTGGAGAAACTTGAGTACCCCAGAGTTGCTGCTCATTGAATTTCTTCACTTTTGTACTGGTCTCAGATGCTGCTTTGACCTTGGAATTTCTACTTTAATTTCCATTTTAATTCCTTCTTAGTACCCAGGTCCTCTTCTCAGAGAGAAGTTGTTATTTAGTCTGTGAGGAACTAAGTGACAAGACATTGGTGCTAACAAGGGGACCAAGCATGCTCTCAGAGGTCTGGTGTGTTCCTGGACCTAGCCATTTTTCCCCTTGCTAAAGCATGAAGTTTGGCATTGGGCACACTGGAAGCCTGGTTGAAACCAAACTTGGAGCATCTGATACAAAGCTGGGGACATTCTAGCAAGTGCAGCAGCCCCTTCTTTCTCTGTAACAGAGATATTGTTTATGTGGAGATCCACAACCTTTAATATGGATCCAAGATCTTTGCAATTTAATGGACCAGATATGAATTTCCAGGCAACCAAAATGATACAACTTCCTTGCTTACTTGACAAAGAAGCCATTGTGGATATGATCCAAGATTCCTGACAATGTTGCTGATGTTAGAATATGACTTTAAAGGGTTGGAACCTCTTCTAAATGGATGGCCCATTGAAGATTTTATAATATTTTATCTGATGGCTGGTCTGACCAGGATAGAAACTTTTTTTTCTCTTGTTCTTGTCTATGTGCCTCACAGGCTGTTTGGGCATTAATTTTATTTTTTGAGTCTTAAGTGTGTTTCTAAGATGGAGAAACTAGTGGGGTATGAGGACCTGAATTTGACTGGTTTCATGAATCATTGTCCCCTAGGTATATTTTTATGTATAGGGAGAATTCAAGAGTTCCTTCATTTTATTACTCAGATCAATATCTAGTTTGGGAAGGAATATATTGAGGTTGTCATCATGTGAGTGGGCAAAGGCAATAAACTCAAAGCTCTTACTATTTTTTTTTTTGAAAAATAAAAATTTTCCCAATTCCTGACTCAGAATATCTGAAAGAAAGCAAATTCTATGCTTTGGGAAAAATAGATTAATCTGCTCAGGAGCCATATGGCAGCTTGCAGAACCTCTGTTAAGAGTGGCTCAGTCACAAATAGAATTTCCGTTAGTGAGAGGGAAAGCCATACAATTCCATTTCCATCCACTGTCCTTCAGGAGCTTCGCTTCTCCTCCATGTTTAGCCTTTCAGTTGCAGGAACATTTCTTTTTCATCACCTCCTGCCTTTCCCCACTGAGTCTTCTTTATGCTTTACCTTCTATATTTAGCTGTTAAGTGTCTAGTCCACAAATTTGCTTCTGGGGTTAAAGAAACTTTCTTTTCATTGCCTTTGATTTCTAGAATTAAATGAAGAGAAAAAAAAATGGTCTCTGACTTTAAAGAATGGAAATGGATCTCTTAAACTAAATTCCCTACTAGGAGTAGTAAGGAATTAGGTGCTTCACAGAACAGAGAAGATGAAATTAAGATTCTCCTACAAATAAGTATACTATGATTGATTGGTAGGTGAAAGGGTGGTAAGTCTTGAATTGTTTTCTAATTAGATAAACATGAATCTAGCAAAGATATTTTCCTTTGAAAATATCTTTTTTCTTTCATTAGGGATTATGTCACAGCAATTTCCTTTAATTTTTAAGAATTCTTAATTGCCTTGATTTTCTTTATTTCTTATTTTTATGCCCTGTGAATGAGCCCTTGCCTTACAAATGTTCCTTAAAAATCATGTCAAAATGTTTTTGCTAGCCAGTGCCTATTTAGGTTAACTGTAACTCCACCTTGATTCCAAATACTACTTTTGGTTTTCTTGGGAGATCTAGTCAATGATATATTTAAAATCTATGCGATTGAACAGTAATCATATTTGTGTGCTCAAACTGAAGTTGAAGCAGGAACATAGTGACTAGTTCAATTTTAAAGCTCTTTTTTTTTAATATTTGTTTTTTAGTTCTCGGCAGACACAACATCTTTGTATGTGGTGCTAAGGATCGAACCCGGGCCGTACACATGCCAGGCGAGTGCGCTACCGCTTGAGCCACATCCCAAGCCCTTAAAGCTCTTAATAGTGAGATTATTCTTCATCCTGGTTGTAAAAATAAGCAGCTGCCATTTATTAAGCACTTAGTATTACCAGACACTCTTAAGAAATTTTATGTATGTTTTTTAATCATTACCATAACCTTACAGATTGATATTACTATATTCTTTTTATAGTTGAGAATCTCAGGATACCTACATTTATTTTTTTTTGAATATAAAAAAATTTCTTATTCTTAATTTATTTCTATTAGTTTTTGTTCAGTGCGTTATAGCCTGTTTATTATTTTAAAATTATGGGATCTAGGCTTATCCTTATTACAATGAATAAGACTTCCTGAAATTCCATAGTATAAAAATAAGAAGGAAAAATTATTATACTATACTTCAGAAGAACTGAGTATTTGCTTTTGGTATTGGTTCCTATTCTTCTTCCATTGCTCCCAATTAGTAGATTTTAAATGAAATCCATTAGCTAGAAACAGAAGCCATTTATTCTTTGCTGAAGGCCAATTACTTATATACTGCTTCCTCACAGTGAATTATTCTTGCTTATAGGAGCAGAAGTCGATCTTGCCATACATACCCTTTATCTTCTTTTAACCTGCACTCTTTCAGGATTCTTATTTGTACTTCTGCATGTTTGAGTGGTTTCCTTGTGAAGATAATTAAGGTGTCATAAATTTCATATTCCAGTGGTTCCTTTGAATCTTACAGTTGTTCTTTGTAATAGCAATAATGAACTTGAGCTGTTTTAGAACTTTTGTTATTACTGAGACAGGTCACAGATGTCAACTTTGGAGTCAGTGGCTTATCGTATTGATGTATTTCATCTTATGATGGAATAACCCGTCACTTTTCCATGAATTGTCATTAGAACATATTGAAAATGTGTTTAATACCCACTTCTGTGGCATTACATTTAGTTGTAGTTAACTCTAAGGCAAATTATACCCTCTCTCTGTACTTCATCTCCTTGAATTGCTTTTCCTTGGCCTAGAAAATCTTATTCACTTTCTACTAACATATTTATTTTCTCCAAATGTCATCTGAAGTATTCTACCCCTCCCTGTTCTCTGCCTAAGAGCTTCCTTTAACATTTAAGTCTTAGTAACTATTGAAATGATTGACCTACGACATTAACATTTGCTGTCACATCCATATTTGCTTCTTACTGGCATTACCTGAACAGATGCCTCCCGCTAACCCACAGTCTCCTAGTTTTGTATTTTGTTTTCTGTTGGGTGAGAGACAAATGGACAGCGTGATTTAAGGGAAGGAACATTGTATTTAATGAATAGCCAGTTTGGATGCTACTCCTATCTTTAGTTTACTTTCACAGATTACTCCAGGCAATTTCACTTGCTTTCTCTGGTTCAGAGGTGACAGGATAAAGAGTCAGGAGACAAGGTTTAAAAAAAGTCACATGACTTCAGGAAGAGGATTTTGGCCTTTGGTTTAGAGGACCAGGCTGTTCTAAAGAGCATCCCATTTTACCCATAGCCCTGACATTAAGGTTGATGGGAATGGGACTTCCACTAGCAATCATTATAAATAAATTACAGATGAAAGGCTTTTTGTTTTTGTTTTTTTTACAAAGAATAGAGATTTACTTAGCTCACAGTTCTGGAAGCTGGGCAGTACAAGAGCATGGTACCAACATCTGCTGTTTTTTTGTTGCATCATAACATGGCAGGGGCATCAGATGATGAGAACGATGAAGCTGGGATTTCAGAGGTCTTCCGGGCAACCCCCCTTGATTTTTTGATGTTTAAATTGAGGCCCACAACAGTCATGGGTAAATTCACAGTGTGTAGCCTCTTAGATACCAAGTTTCTCCATTCTTTCCCTGCCAATCATTTTGACAGGTACAAAAGAATGCTCACTGATGGAATCTTTCTGCAGTCGGTCTCACTGCTGCTCCAGTTCTGGGCACCTTGCACAATGCCTTGCATGTGTTAGGCAAGTGCTCTACTACTGAGCTGCATCCCCAGCCCTCTGCAAATGTATTTTAGTAGAACCTATTTAAGTACAGCTGGCTGCAACTAACTGTGCCAGATCTTTTTTTTTTTTTTTTTTTAAGAGAGAGGAGAGAGAGAGAGAGAATTTTTTAATATTTATTTTTTAGTTTTCGACGGACACATCTTTGTATGTGGTGCTCAGGATCGAACCTGGGCCGCACGCATGCCAAGCGAGCACGCTACCGCTTGAGCCACATCCCCAGTCCCTGTGCCAGATCTTTATAAAGGCTTCTGATACTCATGTTTTACTTCTTTGCTCACTCTCAGAAATATACTTTCAAAGAAATAGTGCTAAGTTTCCACTGCATATATTTTTAGTTTTCTTTAAATATTTTAAAATTTAGATGTTTCTTTTAAACAATTTGATTACTTTGCACAATTTTGTTAACCACAGCATCCAAGCAATTAATATGATGATTACAATCCAAATGAAGATATAAATGCCTACCAAATCTACCTCATTAAGAACTTGGTTGTAATTCTTAGGCAGTTTCCAGACTTCCTTATGGAACAAAGAACATAGTACTGGGTGGTTTTTATTTTATTATTTTTCTTGGTTGGTAAACTTCTTTTCAAACTAGTTCAGAACTAGTGTCTAAATTTTCCTTTTTGCTCTGGTATGTGATACAACTTCATTTCAGCTGGAATTAAGAATTAGGGTAGGAAGTAGCAATGGATGTTTCAGGGCTGGGACTACAGCCCAGTGGCAGAGCGCTTGCCTGGCATGTGTGAGACATTGAGTTCGATTCTTAGCACCACATATAAATGAACAAATAAAATAATGGTATTCTGTCCACCTACAACTACAACAAAGTTTTTTTAAAAAATTCTCCAAAATTAGGCTTTTACATTAAATGCTAGCTTCAGTCTTGCCATTGGGGTAATATGCTTCTGTCAAACTTGTGAAGATTTTGTAGGGTGTTATAAAAAAAGTCACCATTAAAAAAAATGAAAACTCAAGACCAAGTTTTGATACTTCTGATTAATGTAGAATAGCAGCATTTTTGCTGATATATATACCTTTTTTAGGTGATGTTCTCCTTGGTTGTCTCGATTAACTTGGATCTGACCTAAATTGAAAAGTTGTAGAACCTTGTATCCCATTAATCTTCTGGTTCCTTATTTTGCAGGTGTCTTGTTAAAGTTTTATCTTAAGCCTGCTTTGTCTACTTTCTCCTCTTCTAATATGTTAACAGACTGTCCTTGCATTTTTACACATTTCCCTTTTGCTCTAATATTTCATTATTTCCCAGTTTGTTGATACTGTTGTTATTAAAGGGACAAAGAAGGCATAATATACCAGCTGACCATTTTGCTTCTTAGAAATCTGAGCAATAAGAGGGTCCTTTTATCTGTAAAACTGAATTATTGCTCATACTATAAGGGCTTTCATTTTAAAAATATAATCAGTCATTGCTTCCCATTTTCATAAATACCAAAGCTAAAAAATGTTCTCAATCACAAGATGTTTATAGCCATGCACATGTGACCTCAGGCAACCTGAAGACATGTCTGCTCCTGAGCCTGTCCTTTGTAAGTAGGGCAGCCACTACTAGTCCCTCCAGTGGCTCACCATTCTTCCCCCACCACTTGTGTTAATCAGCTTTTTACTATAAGTAAATATCTGAGGTAATTAGCTTATAAAGGGGTTGTCTTGGATCAGTTTCAGATATTCCAGTCCACATTGGAGTAGCCCCTTTTGCTTTGAGCACATCATGGCAAGAGTATGTGGTAGAACAGAACTGCTGACCTCATTACCAGCAAGCAGTCAAGGGAGCTCAAGTCCCACGGTTCCTTTCATGGGCACACCCACAAAGACATAAGGACCTTGAAGGAGGCCCCACTTCTCCAAGAGCCTACCACTTGCCAGGAGTGCCATCTTAGGGACCAAGCCTTTAATCATGGGCTGTGAG